TCGTTCGCCGTGACCTAAATTTGTACCTTTTTTATAATTGTTTTTTCATATAAAATAAATTGATTAGCCACGTTTTCGAAAAGCCCAAGACTATTTGTGTATTATTTGAAACTTCAAATAGTATTTTTGAAATTCATTGTGTGCTGTTTTAGAACCATTTGCCTTATAAACATTGACCTTCCGATGATTATGTCTAAATATGGGCCACTATTTAAGTAAACAGCAAACGGTAAAAAAGGTGAAACACAAGATTATGAAATAATCGAGTTTCGTACATCAACGTCACTCAAAAGGTACATATTTAACACGTTGTTTGTTTTGTTTTGTTTTTTCTCCTATTTTTGTAATGAATATTTAATCAAGATTTCTGCACAGAATAGTATACATGTACACCTTTAACATTAAAACCACATTATGCTTCAGACTTTCATATTTTGTTTAATTATTTACAAATAGCTAACATCTGTTCAATAATGCTCTATAAATGGATTTAGAGAATTTATAAAAGCTTAAAAACTGAAGTCATTAGGGCTAAACGTCATTTAATGTGACGTGAAGGTATTTAACTGTCAACAAAGTAGTATTTTGACTTCCATATAAAACACTTATTCACTTTAATTATACCAGTTGCGAGGAGAACAAAAGTAGCATCAATGGCCATCACTGATGACATGTGTCGCCTGATGATAGCCAATAGCATGTTGCATCTACTGTGAAACAATAGACACAACAATTATTATCAAAGAAAACATGTTTTAATCATGGGTCATTACTCAGCTAAAAATCCTTCAACCAAAAACCCTTGTCACTTGACCTACCGATAAATCATTTTATGTTTAATTGAAATTGCAGAAATGGTATAAGAGGAGTCCGGACAAATTTTATTAACACTTTATTGAAGAGCCATAACTCCGCCAAAAATATTTCAACCGGAATACCTGTGAAATATGAACAAGTACTTGAGCTACAGACCAATCCTGTAAAGCTTTAATGAAATTGCTTTAGTTGTATAAGAAAAGTATTCCGGACAAACTTTGAAAATAAAAATCTTTTAAGGTCTTTAATTCTGACAAAATCACTGAACTGGAAAATTTCGACACCGACGATATGCACAAATACATTTGGTACTGGTCATTCCTGTAGCGTTTGAATAAAATTTCACCAGTATGTTTTTAGTTGTCGGGACAAGGTTTGAGACGGACGGACGAAAGAACGGACAGACGACGAAGAAGTGACCCTTTATGTCTTCTTCGTAGAGGCGACACAAAAAAGGTTCATGTAGAAAGCATTTTTTCATCAAAACTGTTATACACTGTAATAAGATACCATTTTTTAAGAAGTAACATTGACATTTGGTATTTCAGGATGTTGGTTATTTGTGTTTATGCTACTTAACATAAAATGTAAGTTGATAGTATATATAAACATTTATTTGCTCATTGAAATTGAAGATTATTACCCTCTTTGTCGAACCTTTAACTGGCGTAGCGATTAATATGACTGCCTTCTAATCTACTGTCCCCTCACAAGACACACCAAGGAGTTAGAATTAAGTGTTTTCAATTAGATACCAGATAAAGGCTCAATACAGTGTTAGCCAAATGGTCTAAAACGTTTCGAAGCATTTCATTGCTTTGAACAAGAAGGACCAATAACTTTTTAAACATATTTTTAATCAGTAAATTATGTTTTTTTATCATTTTTTAATTGTGTCACATTTTGACCTACCGTCATTTTTTTTATCTTTTGATAAATCTACATATACCTATTACTTTATAGGAATGTTTGTTTGTCTAGGTAGATAAAACATATTTTCTTGCTAATTGCATTCACGGTTCCAAATAAAACAAACTATTATTGACATAATATTTTATTTGAAAATAATAGTTACTTTAGTTAGTAATTGAAATATCAATTCATGTATCAAATATTGCAAATTACAAACAAAATGTACATATGCATGTTTAACTATATAATTAAATAGTGTACCATGAAATATATTGCAGTACATACCACATTCATGTGGAAACCCGAATCATACGAAATTCCTTAGAAGCAATACCAAGTTGTTTTTGTTTCTTACCTGCCTTCGGTCATTAACAAGCTATGAATTGAATTCAGATTTATTGTGATATTTTTCCATTCTAAGTTGCAGGATGCATAACATGTCTAAATTGTAGAAATACTGCCGATCTTAGCAATTGTAAAGAAGGCAGTTGTTTGTAAATAACAAACGAGGTAAGTAGAACAATCGTTCAATACATGGCTTTAATATTATATAACCATGTTATTATAAGTGCTGTTCTTACTTTTCCGGGGTACTGGGGATCAATGATTCAATCATTTTTAAGTGTTTGGAAATTTAGTACCATTAAAGCCGGTGCTAGGGGGCGTGAGGTATGTGCACATTATCATCATCCCTCATGTACAGACTCAATTATAACAAGACAAAAAAATCTGTATAACAGTGCACTATACTACTCTTATTGCTTAACAGTTAGAAAATAGGGAACAACTCTTAGAGTCATGGAACCTTTCTTCATCATGTAAAATAATCACAAAGAGCAGGTATGTGCAGTTTAAAAAAAAGAATATTGAGTAGTTTTTTGAATCACAACATGCACGTAAAACAATAAGTGTGACGAAAGCGGCAACGCTGACGTCAGGGTGCGTTCAATAGCTCTCCGCCGTTTCTTTGAAGAGGCAAGCCAAAAACGTGCGATGTCTTTTATTAAAAATAAACCAACATATTTGAAATTCGATAAACGAAAGTTGATAGACGCGTAGTTTTGTGTTGGTGGTCAACTAAAAATGTTTACACAGAGTTTACTGATAACAATTATTAACAGATTTCATTGCTTCAGATTTAATGTGAATAATGAGCATGCACTTTTGACAGTTAATGTTTTATGTTGTTAAATGGTGTCCTCATTTCCATGGAAAATATTTCGCGGCATACACATTTATGTTAACACATATGAAAATCAATCAATACAGGATTACAGCACGTTTTCATTTACAACAAAGTCGTGTAATATATTCCTAACCCTGACTCCGTTGTGTTACATGTACAAGTTTTGATAAATACGAACAGACATATCACAATTTGTCAAACTAAAGATATAAGTGTATGAAAAGTATTTTGTTTGTCTTGCATTGCAGACATGTTACATTGAAAAAAGTTTGTCAACCGTGGACCTTCAACCCGTTTATAATACTGGATGTAAAAATCTTGAAGTAAGTTTTTGATTGACTGAGTCTGTTTTTCATATTTAATTTCTATATTTCCAACATAGAAGGATAACACATAACATTGTTTTATCACGTTTAAAATTACGTACATTCATTTTTTAATAGCAGGCATTAAATAATTTAAATGGCAACGTCCACGAAAGAAACCATATTTTTAGCTTAAATAATAAAGCACAAAATAGTGAAAATAAGAATCCCTAAAGAAAGTCAAACACGGCAAATTGAAAATGTTGCAGCTTCGGTCTTATTGAGTCTATTCATGGACGGTACTGTCAATCGCAAACTTCTGTCAACGCCCCCTTACACCGGCTTAAACAGAATTCAACATTTAACAAGTCATTATTTTTCAAACCGAGCCTGCAACATTTTTTAATTTTGCCATTTTGGGCTTTCGTTAGGGATTCTGTTTTTCTATTTTCATTGTCACCTCCATGTTATTTGTGCCGTGTTGCGGCCGTAAAAAGTCTCCCAGTACATTTAATCAAAATGTATATTTTCGATCCTTGAAGATCGTTCAGCACGACATTATTGTTGTGTAAACTTTTTTATGGTATTTTAGTCTTCTTTTTGGCCTTTTTCAACTTTTGCCGTTCTAGTATTCCTACCTGAATACTGTATAGTCCCCATTAGGATATGTTGCCTGATTTTTAAATTTGTCTTTTGACGTCATGTCTGTGATAAGCAGGCTTCTTAACGTCAGGTCCCTTAACAAAATTCCATTTTATTTAGTTCTACCCATTGTTTTCTCGTTCAGGGCACACACATTCTTTAACTTGGGGACCATACTTCGCTTTTCATGGGATGACACTACTGTGTCAGATTGAAAGTTCCATGATAACTGCCGTATGAACACATCTGCGGATGTTTCTTAGTTCAAATTTTTACCATTTTTGTGTAAAAATGTTGAATTCTGCTAAAGCCGGTGCAAGTGGACGTTGACGGTTACTTGCATTGTCCAATACCGTCCATAAACATGCTCAATCAAACCAAGCTTTCGTTAGAGATTTGTCGAAAACCTTAGGCAACTGTTGCAAAGTCACAAAGGTCCTAATTCCAAAGGATTTAGAACTGTTTTTGCTTATGAATACATTTGATAAATATAACATGTTTTGTGTAAAACGTACAACTTTGCCAATGATTGTTTAAATGGTAATATTTCTTTTTAATGAATCAAATCTTAACTGACATAAAATGCCCCTTTTCTCACAATAATGTGTAATAACGTTAGGTACCATCTTGCACTGACCCCATCTTTAAAATCTTCTGCACGACAGAAAAAATAATATGCACAACAAAATTGTGTTTTTCCGAAAAGATAAAATCATATTAAAACGTAATTCACAGATAATGTCTCAAAAAGTTCTTAAACTTGGCCAGTTATGTCAACATCGGATAATTAAATATAAGGCGGCTTATTTTTAGCAATCGTTTCCTTTAGAAGTGTCATACGCTTGAATATGACATATCTTTAACATTTATTATTTTCTAAATTATTAATTTTCATTTAATTCATTCTTTATTTCTCAATATCATTTAAGATAATTCATATTAAATCTAAATGAATTTTAGTTTTATGCTCTTTTTCTCAAAAAAAAAAACTAAGAATGTTTACTACTTCTGTGAATTGGAAGGTTCAATTAAACCGAGCCTGCGGTGTTTTTTTTTTTCATTTTTTTCCCGTACAAATGCTTCCTCTAAGGTTGCTTTTAAATCATTATATGGATTTATTTTTCTTATTCAGTACTGCAGACTAGAATATTGCAATAAGATAGCATACGGAGGTAATATACAATTGACGAAACAAGCTATCGATAATCTGACTCTATGTTCAGAGTGTTGTTTTGAAGATGGCTGCAACACAGAAGGGTGTGGTTATATTAAACGTAAGAGTTCTAGTATTAAAGGCAAAATAGCCCTCAGAAATGACTTTTTGAGTTCATTTATAGCGTTATTGACAATCATCATCATGATGTGAAGTATGTAGAGATAAATATGAAACTTTTTGTTATAAAAGAACATCAGTAGAACATCAGTGAGTCCTTCTTTGATCAGTCAATATTTCTCGATTTGTTTAATGTTGTTGTGATTTATATTTCGAGGATTTTTTTTTCAGATTTAAAGCAAAATTAAAATACCGATTTATCCCAATATACTCTTTATAAAAACTGTTATAATTATATAAGTCGAAATGTTTTTTTTTATTTGTTGAATTTTCGATTTGTCGAAGTTTTTTCATCGCCCGTATAAAGTAGAGAAAATAAGAATCCCTAACGAAAGCCAAACACGGCAAAATTATAATTGGTACAGTAATAGTTAAATTGTAACAGAGGCATTTTGACTACCAAATAGGAAACTCAATTAATACAAATAACCTCTATTCAATGTTGAAAAGTCGTTAAAGGTAGTTCAGTTATATGGTCAACAATAATCAAATTTTGAAAACTGTAACAGCACACACACACGTTAAAGGTATATCATGGGTAATGGGCACAGTAAGGCACTGTAAAATTGACAACATATGACAGTTAAATATCTTATCAGTCACCTGTATTCAAAATTTTAATATAATTTACCGTGTGGTTTATGAGTTATGGATATATTTCTGAAATAAAACTTCGCTGTTAGAAGGGTTTTTATCAGAAATGAGGACACTCTTAATAATCTATAATATCATCATTATGAAAAATGTTTTCCTATTGATCATTGTAAAGAAACAAATAATAACATTCAGGTAACAGATTTACATGATAAAATGACTGTTTCTAAACAAAATGTTGTTCATATGTATAAAAATGTTACCCTTCTCCGCCCACTTTAAATACTTATTTGACCATTTCACTTTATAAAAGCCTTATTCAAAATGCCCCTTAAATTTACCACAATGAGGGACTGTTTTCTAAGTCTGCCTATATTTTAATCAGAATATACAAGGTTGATTATGCGAAATATAAATTACTTTTACCATTCAGTTTTTATTTAATCACATTTTGAAAATATCTGGTATCATATTTGCTATTAAATTTGGCATTTTAGCAAATAAATACCTACAATGACTATATAATTAAAATCACGTTTTTCTTCCAAGAAAAAAGTTGCCCCTTCTCGGGTTTGAACCTACGCCCCTCAATTTCAATGTTATTGACAAGTCTATTTGAATACTGTTCAAAGAGGAGGTAATGCATTACCAAAGATCTACCTTAAAGTTGAATTAAAATTTTTATTTAACAGTAAACTCCGCTTATAACGAACTCACTGGGACATTCAAAATCTGATCCTTATATCCGGAGTTCCTTGTAAGAAAATAGCGAATACGTTCCTTTTTTTATAGCGAACAGATTTACATTTAACGAACTGATTAAATATAATCGTCCGCCATTTTGAAGAGAATTTGATTAAAAAAAATAGTCATTTATTTCATTTTTAAACACAGTACCCGAGGGTGTACTTTTTGAAATTGAAATTTATTGCTTTCTCAGTTTTCGGTTTACTCCTTATCTCAATTTCAAATGAAATATAATATTTTGTTTCTAAACTATTTTCGTTTTCTTTCCATGATTGCGAATGAACAAGATTTCGAAATTTCATTCCTTTTATATTATATACCCTCTATTATTATTTAAGGGTGGCTTTTACTAATGTAAGATTCACATTTCCTTTCATTTAAATCAAGCGTACTTTGCAGTTTGCAATGGATCATGCTTGCAAGCATGCATGATTATGTTGAAAACCGATTATAGATTATTACAATTATTTACCTCGAGCTAAACTTTTGAAGAAAATAAATAAATAACCGTTTTATCTTGGTGATAAGAGCTCATGCTAAAATATCCAAAATAGAAAAACTATACAAATTCATTTGAATGGTGTATTGAAGTACAACGATAAACAGCACATTCGCCCGAGTTTTAATCCTTGCGAATGAAAGCGAAAGTTGAAAATGCTTGATCTATTTACAGATAGCCAATATTTTTGAGTTCGTTATAAAAGTGTTATGTTCTGTACTATTAACTAAATTGGGACTAAGAAATGAGTTCCTTATTAGCGATAATTCCTTATAACCGTGTTCACTATAACCATATATTTTTATATTAAATAAAGAACACCAATATTCGGGTCAAAATAAATTGTTCCCTTAAACCGGAAATTCGCTTTTACCGTGTTCGCTATAAGTGAAGTTTGCTGTAATATGATTTTTGCAAAAAACAATGTCGTATACTACAAAATAAACTTAGAACTTACTTTATATGACGTATATGATATGTGTAGCAATATTTAACCGCTTTTTATCATTACCCCCCCCCCCCTTCAATGCCAAGCTCTTGCACAAGTTCGTGATAGATATGACCAAATAGTTTTACCTCACAAAACATTTAATGATTTAATGATACTTTAGGAAGAAATGTAAATGTAATTCAAGATTTATTTCACTCATTTTGTAACCATGCATTACCCTAGAAAACCCTGTATTACCCTAGACCTCTCCTCAAAAACAATAGGAATGCAATTGATCGATAGATAGATCAAGTGACGTGTTTTCCGTTTGAATTATTTCAAAATAATCATTGATTGCACACGTTAAGTTTCCATTTTGTTTAGTTTCTCTCAAAGTGCACACGCTTTCTATTATTAATTTTGGAAATATACGCCGCTTTTCATGGAAGTGTCACATTACACATTGTTCCATGACAACAGTCATATGAGCTCATCTGCGGATGTTTTAAAATTCATAAATTTACCATTTCATGTTTCAATGTTGAATTCTGCTTAAGAGGCGTGGACGATAGAATGCACATGACAGTACCGTCCATGAACATGCTCAGTCATACTGAGCCTGCAACATTTTCAATTTTGCTGTATTGGACTTTCATTAGGAATACTTATCATTTTCTCTATTTAATAATCTCATGATAACAATTATATTACAGTGTTCGGCTCGGTATGGCCAATAATCTGTCAATGTGCCGTTAAATACAAACAAACAAACGAACAATCACGCAATTATAATTGTATCACGAATGTTTTCTATCACAAAAATACTCGGAGTGACTGAGTTCCATGTGGTTATCTTATAAAACAAATATCCATTTGATTTCTATGTTGTAAGGTATACAATAACGAAATGTCTCTTTTGTGGGATCATAAATTATATTTATTCATCTTTTAAAATATACATTGTTGTAAGAATAGGTGCCATAAGTTTTTGTTTTTAGAAATGTTTATTATTGATGCTAATTGTAGGTTGCTTTAATCATTTAGGTTCCTTAAGATTGCGGACTCTGCTTGATTCAAGTTTGTTCGTTAGCCGTTATACAACAGCAGAGGCAGTGAAATCATTTATACTTAACACCAAACTTATCAATGTGGCATGATGACTAGAAAAAAATACTAGCAAAAAATAGGATGCATGGGAAAACTTTTAAAGGTCCTTCCAATGGTGTTTAGGTGTTACCCTTTTAATGATGCTTCTTTCATAACTTGTCACACGCCTCGAGTTTTATTGTTACAAAGGCAGGTAGATCAAAAGCCACAGGCGTAATGTTCAGTTACAAAGAACATAGTGCAAATAATTGATTCAAAAATAAAAGTTTTCTGAATTGGCAGAAAATAGGTCAAACTGTAAAAATGCATTTTTTTCTCATGCCGTGAATGTATATAGTCGGACTGTTTGTAAAGAGAATTATATTGGGCGTGTGAAAATCAGTAGATTTGAAATACTTGTTCTTGTTTTTTAGCGTTAAAGTATACTCAGTGTTTTAAGTGTGACGAAATCTACGAGGGAGGACCAGAGTGTACAACGATAGTGGATTGTGATTTAGAGAGATACGTAAGTCTATATCGTTTACTAGTTAAATAAATATACACAAGGGAGAGGCAAAGTCCTTTACGTATTTTGATATAAGGGTTCAGCATTAAACCTTCTTTGAATCGTACAGTTAATTTGATGATTAACCATGGAAGGATAACGATATATGCATTACCTTCTTAACTATTGGACATTTATGAAAATGCCTGAAAGCATTATGACAGTTTAATTATTTATATTAGGATATTGATAATTCCACTTTTTGAATTGATAAGTATAGTAAGTAAAGATTTGGTTTAAAATTCTTTTATTGCATAAATCTATTTAACACTTTGAAATTATCACTTAATATGTCTTATTGAAATAAGAGAACGCACAAACTATGTTTTGCAATCTGCCTTTCTTATTTTTTGACAAGTTAATTCGGTCCTTTCTTGAAAGTGACATGTTATCCGGTTAAACCCTTGACGATTATACATGTATATGCATTTAAGTCTTCAAATTATGAGTACAAATATCTATAATGAAGAGCGCCGTTCATGGAAACATCCCCAAATTATGTCAATCGAAGCAAAGATAACCAATTTAAACAGGCATATATATATATGTGAAACGTACGATGGCAGAGAAGGATAAGGGGAACATCAAAATAAAAGAAAATAAAATACACTAATTATATACCACGAATGAACCATGTTTAAAGGGTATTATAATGAAGAAGAAATGTGAGGGTAACAGGATAAGAATCATTGATCATAAAGGTAAGAAAAAATTGAATTGATAAGTTGAGGATATCATAAAAAGTAGAAGACACTAAATGAGTTAAAAGCAAACATAATTTTGATAGTTTATATGGGGAAAATAAATGCATTCCAAATGAATTGATTCTTGTGTTTTTATTATATATTTGAATATCCTCAAATTGATATAAAAATAATTATAAAATCCCTTTTTTTTCAGGCGTGTTCTGTATCAAATCATCCAAACTCCCATCGCCCTGGCGCTTATGAATTAGGCTGCAAATTTCAGCGAGCGGTATTAACACGTTAATTTACATCTGTATATATATATATATATATATACACAGTACAGTATAATTATGTTTTGTTAATCGTTGTTATTTGAAAAAGTGTTCTTATAGATTTAATATGTCAAAAAATGTTGATCTTTGTGAAAACATTATTTCAAAGGATCTTAAGAGAAAATATTATGTTGATGAAAGTGTTGTTTTTTATTATTATTTTTATCATTTTTATTATTATTATTATCATTATTTCTTCATCTATCGCATATTTCAAAAACATATGTTTACAAGCATTCATGATTACACACAGCATTTTGTGATTAAAAATAAAACATATCTGCTTCAATTAAATCTACATTTATAAACCAAATAAATTGTCATTTTCTGCCAACATGTGTCATAAAATAATGAAATATGGCCTTTATTTCATAGCAATGCGAGATCCTTCTGAACTTGCCTGCTAATTCGGGAGATGGAAACGTAAAGTGTTGTAACACGATCCTGTGTAATGTCAGCCCATTTGACAGGAAGACCAATAAAACAGGTAAGGTTCACAATGTCAATCATTTTCAAAATAAACAAAATTTTTAAAATAACCAGCTCATTTTGCGTTACATGAATTGGTTATGGTTCTATTATTTTAGCTTTATTAGCAAAGCGTGAAATATGTCAGTAACACAGGTGGACACCGTGTGATCTTTCGTTCGAAAATCGGAAGTTTTTCAGTTTCTATTTACTCCCGACCTAGAACACGTCCGAAAAGCACAATTTTAAAATGCAAAATGATAATGTTGTTACATTGTTCCATTCCATTGGAATGTTGAGTATTAATTTCTTACTAATGACAGGCTCTTTTTATTATAAAATAATTAAAGAAGAAAGGAGAATAACATAATTAAAACAGTATGCACTGTATAAGGTAATAGTAAACAAAAATATTAATTGGTCAAAGTACAACACTACCTTCACGACGCAAATAATGAACATGTAACTTTTAATTAACAACGTTTATTTGAGTCTCCATCATATATGTTCAATTATGCAACTTGGTAATATTAATAATAGGAACTACATATTATTTTAATATGATTTTTTTACAACAGAATAAAAAATATAAACTATTTTATGTTATAAATATATAAAAACAGTATTTTCATTTATTAACTTGATTGGCAAAACCCGTTATAATAAGGGGCTGTCAGTAGGACATTAAAACAAGTGTCTGGATCAAATAAAATTAAAAAAATTAAAAAAGAGACATTATTTTTCAAAGTCAATGTTAGAGAATTCATTTATACTCTCAAACATGTGTGGAAGAAGTCAGTTCCAAATTTAACCGAGCATGCGTTTTAACACAATTACTTTGACATTTGTCATAAGCATTTTTGTAACCACCTTTGAACTGCTACTGCAGAAAATGAGTTTTTGAAATGAAATTAAAGCAAACCCTTCGTTATCTCTGCTTTAACGATAACGAAAAGGAACAGAACAGAACAGAAAATTTGCAGACTTGAGCTCTACGCTCCGTGTTTACGAATACAGTACTTATTAGGTATCTTATTTCTCCATATTGTAAATTTTTAGAGGATCTAATGAGCTAACGTTACGATACACACGTGATATTACAAGAGAAAACACCTCTTAGTTGTATGTAGCAAAACATATTCTTCAACAGTTAACAAAGTATTAGCTGAATTTTGCAAAGCTGTGAAGTTTCATTATTTTTTAGCATTTGACTTATCTAAAACGTGGTAGTGATATGACATTTTGACTGCCCGTGTATATACTACAAAATTTAGTCTTACATGCAAAATACTTCTTTGTTCAAACGATTCAATAAGATGTTTGCTAGAATGAGACCATTAAATGGGACAAAAAAAAAGGAAAATAAGATTTAGTTCTATTTCGTCTTTTCAATAGATAGAATTGAACGTGCAGCATCTCACAAAACACTGGATGGT